CTATATAATATAGACTTCTATAGATCCCGAAAAATATCAAAACAAAGTTGATACTTTAATGTTGGATAATTTAAAGAATTTAAATGAAATTCTTGGTAAAACTCTTTTTTTTTTCTCATATAATTTTCTGCGAAATTAAACAAGGACCCTTACACTTTATTAAAAATGATTTCTCTAGATAGTATATTCCAAACATGTATTCAAAAGATTGATGATGGCTTATATGAATTAGAATCACCAGTGCAAGTTGGCAATCAAAATTGCACACCAGAATATACTTTATCGATGATTGAAAATGGGACATCGGAAGCATCGGAATTTACCTACGCGTTTATTGAATTTTTGAAAACAGATAGAACCAAGAATCACGCAGATGTGATTAAAAACGCATTAAATTTTTCTCAAGCAGCTTCGGATATTTTGAGAACGGTAAAAGGAATTACGCGTTACGCTGACGATGAGGATGAATTTGTGGATGAGATTGTTAGTGCAGCCAAGGTAGCAGCCGTTGTCTCCCAAAAATATTTGTTAAATGTTCAATCTTTCAAAATGGACAGTTTACCAGCTTCTGGAAGGAGCGAAACGGTTTTGAAATGTGATATAGATGTTCAGGATTCACTACAAAAAATTGCTAAAATAACTGAAGGCCTGTTGAAACATAATTTAGATGTCACAAAGAGAGCAGATGGTGAGGTTGGTAATCTTGTGGAACAAGAAATGATGAATGCTGCAAAAGTTATTGAAGCTGCCACAGCTCGCATTCAATCTTTGATGTCACAACCTCGTGACGCTGGTCTTTCTGCGACAGAATTGAATGTTCATGATGCAATCCTTGAATCTTCATTGGCCATTACTAATGCTATAGCACATCTTATAAAATGCGCGACTGATTCACAACTAGAAATTGTAGCACAAGGAAAAGGCAGTAGCAGTCATGCAGCTTTTTATAAGAAACATAATAGGTGGACGGAGGGTCTTATTTCAGCTGCTAAAGCTATTGCCTTGGCCACAAATCTTTTAATAGAAACCGCAGATGGTGTTATTCATAAAACACATAACCTTGAACAGCTTATTGTGGCGTCTAATGAAGTGGCAGCAGCAACCGCACAACTCGTAGCAGCATCCAGAGTCAAAGCAGATTTCATGTCTAAGGCGCAAGATCGTCTTGAAGCAGCCTCTAAAGCTGTCACAAATGCTTGCAAAGCACTAGTGAAAGCTGTGAAAGCAATTGCTGCAAAACAACTCGAAGAAAAGGACCACGCGATTGATTATGCTAGCTTAACACCACATGATTACAAAAAACAAGAAATGGAACAACAAGTTGAAATTTTGAAACTTGAAAAGGAACTAACTAATTCCAGAAGGAAGTTGGCAGAAATGAGGAAAGTTGGATATCAATTGAAGAGATAAATTATAGATTTATATGTACGCATGCATATGTGTGCATGATTGTAATGCAAATGTAAAAAAAAGATGTTTACTTCGAACATGTTTTTGTTTTGGAGCAGTTTCTTCAGG